TTAAAATGATCCATGGAGAAACGATAAAAATGGAAAAATTTTACAATATTAGTTTTAAAGATTGTGATTTTGATAGGGCCTCATTTATTTATCAGAACGGGGCCACAAAAATCTAAAAATCGCCCATGAAAAAAGAAACATTGTTACGTATTAAATGTTTGTAATTTTTATATACTGAATGTTCACAATTTATGTATTAAAATATTCACAATTTTATATACACAATTAATATGTAAATTCTAAAAGTATATAAATAATATAATGGTGTATTTTGATTTGAGTCTACTTTGGGGTCCACGGCATAACTGTCGGAAAAGAAAAGAATCCCCAAGTCCCCAACGATGCGGAAAAGTTGTTTATTGCCCTGACGTCTGGTAATATTGCGGAAGAGCATGAACACGTGGAGGACCATCGTAGAGAGCAGTGTTGCATTACCCCTGACGTCTGGTAATATTACGTAACAACTGCCTCTCTTCTCCCTAAGTCCCTCACTCACTCTCCAATTCTCTTCTCTCTCAAATTTCTCCCCTGTGCACCCTCTGTCTAAAAATCTCTTCTACAAACTACTACAGAAGGAGCCTCTACGTTTTTCTGTTCTTCGTTGCATTCTCTCTTGAGCGTTAGGTACAATGTTTGTGTTTTCGTTTTTTGATGAAATGTAACTTGATTGTTTTGTTTTTTGGCTTGAAATTGCTTTGTTTTTGGTGGATTTTTCTTCATTTGCATTCGTATTTTTCATGTTGATTTGTGTCTCCGTGTACTGGTTTTGTTTTCCTTTGGCTTGATCTGTCATTTGTACTTCTAAAACACTCCCTGTACCGTTTTGTCTGGATTTTTTTTTCTGCTCATTTCTATTATGTCACAGACTCACAGGTGATGTCGTGTGCGTTTCCCCACTTTTATGGTTTCTGTAAAGATCTGGCAGTGGTTTTTTCATGCTGTTTCTGTGTGGTATCTTGGCCTAGCAAAGCATTGTATATGTTTTGGCTAGGATTCTTAGGTCATCTGTTTATATGATTGTTAAGTGTGAGATGGAACTAAAAATGTTAAAAGAGTACGTACATGCAAAGTTATTTTCTCCCTGTAATGTCTATGTTATTTTAAGTGTTACATTAGACAAGTGTAGGTTTGCTTTTTCCCGATTCTTTCTGTTATGTACTCTGGTGTGTAAAATGCTTAATACATATTGTTACAGTACTGGGAGAGAAAAAGAATACCTCTTGAGAGTTCTTCCTCTTTCTTTATGTCTTTAGGGTTAGTCAACCTCCCCTTAAATACTAGCTTGATCTAGACTGATATGGTATGCTAATATTCTAGTTCCCTAAAATATAAGATACTCAATCACACAGAATATTCTATAACACTCCCCCTCAAGTTGGAGCAAAGACATTGATCATGCCCAACTTGTTACATAAATAACTGACTCGGATTCCAGTAAGGGCCTTCGTGAATAAGTCCCCAAGTTGTTCTCCTGTCTTCACAAATCCTGTGGAGATTAACCCTTGTTGTATCTTCTCACGTACAAAATGACAGTCAATCTCTATGTGCTTAGTTCATTCATGGAACACCGGGTTTGATGCAATATGAAGAGCAACTTGGTTATCACACCATAACTTTGCAAGAATTGGAGCTTTGAAACCAGACTCACACAAAAGGTCGTGTATACACATTACTTCACTCGTTGATTGTGCCATCGCTCTATATTCAGACTCTGCACTCGAACGAGAGACTACATTCTGCTTCTTACTCTTCCAGGAAACCAGATTACCTCCAAAGAAAACACAATATCCAGTTGTTGATCTACGATCCTCTTTGGAACCTGCCCAATCCGCATCAGTAAAACACTCTATCCGAGTGTGACCGTGATTCTTATACAAAATTCCGTGTCCCGGAGCTCCCTTTAAGTAACTCAAGATGTGCTCTACAGTTGCCCAGTGATCAATAGTTGGAGATGACATGTACTGACTCAAAACGCTAACTGGGTATGCAATATCTGGACGGGTTACGGTCAAGTAGTTTAGCTTCCCAACCAATCTCCTATACCTCTCAGGATCTTCAAAAAATTCCCCTTCCTTTGACAATTGCAAGTTCGGTATCATGGGAGTATTGCATGGTTTAGTACCTAGTTTTCCTGTTTCAGAGAGTAAGTCAATAACATATTTTCGTTGGGAGAGTAATATACCTGTTTTGTTCCTCATAACTTCAATACCCAGGAAATACTTTAGTGGTCCCAAATCTTTCGTTTGGAATTGACTGTGAAGAAATGACTTGAGAGACAAAATCCCTTCGGTGTCGCTCCCTGTAATGACAATGTCATCTACGTAAACCACCAACCAGATGATACCTGTTTTGGACCACTTGTAGAACATGGAATGATCCGATTTGCCTTTCACCATCCCAAACTTCTCAACAACTTGACTAAATTTTCCAAACCATGCACGTGGACTTTGTTTCAGCCCGTACAACGATCGCCGAAGACGACATACTTTCCCAGACTCCCCCTGAGCAACAAACCCAGGAGGTTGCTCCATGTACACCTCTTCATGAAGATCCCCATGCAAAAAGGCGTTCTTGATATCAAGCTGATGCAAAGGCCAATCATGAATGGCAGCCATTGAGATGAGTAACCTGACAGAAGTAAGCTTAGCCACAGGAGAAAAAGTGTCAGAATAATCAACTCCATAAGTTTGGGCATATCCCTTAGCCACAAGACGAGCCTTCAATCGAGCCATAGACCCATCAGAATTAACTTTGACAGTAAACACCCATTTACAACCAATAGATCTTTTACCCGCATGCATAGTGACCAACTCCCAAGTACCATTGTGATCCAAAGTGTTCATCTCCTCAATTATGGCATTTCGCCACCCAGGATGGGACAAGGCATCCCTAACAGTCTTAGGAATGGAAATAGACTCAAGGGAAGCAATAAAAGAACACGAGGCATGTGACAGCCTATCATATGATGCAACGGAGGATATAGGATAAGTACAGGTACGTTTACTTTTCCGGGTGGCAATCGGACGGTCATCAATTAAGACTGGATCTGATGACATAGAGGTGGTGTCAGGGCACGGAGTCTGTACCGAGTCTGGAATGGGAGGCGGTGCCGATACGAGTGTGTCAGGTCGAGGTCGACGAGAATACACTTGCAAGACAGGAGGGGTAGGAACAGGGGAAGGAACAGACGACGTTACCGTATACATCAATATATCATCCTCCTCCCCCTTACGAACAGCATTTGGGGATGAAGGAAAGAAAGGGACGTCCTCATTAAAGGCAGCATCAATGGAAACATGGTACCTTCCAAGTTCTGATACCAAATTAAAGTATGTGCTCCATCTCAACTAAAAGCCTAAGCTCATAGTTGGATTGCACATTAATGGCTATATGCGCGGTGGGGTCCAAGCAACACGTGGACCAGTAAACCATAGTCGTGGCGCTGAGATTCGAACCCATGACCTTTGGTCTGGCTCTGATACCATGTTACAATACTGGGAGAGAAAAAGAATACCTCTTGAGAGTTCTTCCTCTTTCTTTATGTCTTTAGGGTTAGTCAACCTCCCCTTAAATACTAGCTTGATCTAGACTGATATGGTATGCTAATATTCTAGTTCCCTAAAATATAAGATACTCAATCACACAGAATATTCTATAACACATATCATATTATATTTCGTCTGTGGTTTTTAGCTAAAGTTGTTTATATCTGCTAAAGTGCTAAACTAGTCCATGAGATATTGAAACTTAGTTATCAGCTTTTCTTGGGTCATATAGGCTCTGACCTTTTATCTTTTGTGATCTCAAGTGTAGTATGAAGTACTTTTCTAGACCCTAATACTTCTTGTCTTCCTTTATTTTTTGGTTGTACTGTGGTGTTTAGTCTATCAATTATCATTCATCTTTCCTGTATTTCTTTGAGGAGTAGCTAAGAAATACTTGTAACTTATGCTTCAATTTCTCAGAATTAAGCTGTCTAAAATTGGTTTTCTACTGCTCCATGCAACCAAATTAAAAGATGGGGGAAGGGAACAAGTATTTTGTAGAGACTGCATGTCATTTAATCTGTTTCTTGCATTTATTACCACCCTAGAGTTCTTGGATTATTTTTCTTAATATATATAATCTATTATTAACATTCTACTATTTTGTTGAAGTTTGTGGTGATGGCTGAGCAAGACAACAAAGGAGCAGCTGAGGCTCTTCCTCCTCCACCGCCTGTTCCTTCAGATTTTACTCCAACAAAAGCTGAAGCAGAGGCTACCAAGAAAAAGGCCCCTCGCCTTCCTATGGCTAGACGAGGCTTTGGGTCCAAGGGACGAATTGTGAGCATATATCCATTAATGTGTATCCAACTATCAGCTTAGGCTTTTAGTTGAGATGAAGCACATGCTTCAATTTGGTATCAGAGCCAGACCAAAGGTCATGGGTTCGAATCTCAACGCCACTCGTAAGCGACTATGGTTTACCGGTCCACGTGTTGGTTGGAATCCACCATACACGTGAGGGGGCGTGTGAGCATATATCCATTAATGTGTATCCAACTATCAGCTTAGGCTTTTAGTTGAGATGGAACACATGCTTTAATATCCTTACCAATCACTTTAGAGTGAATGTGTCTAAAAATGATGGGCACTTTTTTCACTACAATGTATGCTGACACCTGTATCAGCAACTGAATTCCCTAACCTAGCTTGTCTGTACATTTTTCATTTATTAACTTCATTCATTCATGAACAGGTTGCCCTTTATTATGAAGATGGTCATCCAGTGGACAGCAAAGGCATTGGAAGAAAAGCCCTGGATACTGTGCGTGAAACATATGCTACAGAACTAGCTGGAAAAGAATTTGCATATGATGGTGAAAAGAGCTTAGCTTGTTCACGGTTGGTGCGCTTCCACAAAATAAACTGGAGTTCACAATTATTCTTGAGGGATGCTACTTCAAATAGGTATTGCCTCTTTATTTCCTTCCATCCTCTTTCTTTTTCTTCTGTGTTATGTGTTCTTATAACCCTGCCTTGCCTCCTTTATATAGGAACACTCGTAACTGCAGTCCTGGGAGTCCTAGTGAGGGTGACAATAAAAGGTTGCGTCGTCCTTACCGATCAAAGACCTATAAGGTGGAGATCAACTTTGCTGCCAAAATTCCTATGAATGCAATTGCAAATGCCTTGCAAGGACAAGAGTCTGAGAACTCTCAAGAAGCGCTGAGGGTTTTGGATATCATATTGAGGCAGCATGCTGCGAAGCAGTTGTTGGAATCGATGCGTTAGTTTAGAAGCAATGATTCATGCTTGGTATAGCATGTTTCGTGCTTCACTACTAAGCACTGATTCGTGCTTCAATTTCGGAAGCACTGATTCGGGTTTGTGGCCTTTCGGTCAAAACCGAATGGATTCGTGAGGGCTAATCTGTTAGCACCTACGAGATGTGTTAGCGTGTAACACATGTTTATTCCTTAAAGAATAAAAACAGAAAAACCAAATTAATCGTGGATTAATGCGGTTACGAACAATCGATGTGGTGAAAAAAAAAAAACACCTATTGGTGATTTCAGCGCAAGCGTTAGTGTTATACTCAAGCGTACGGTACGGTATTCACCTCAATCAAACGTTGTTGCCGAACATAAAATATCAAGACGTTGATAAGTTCGGGTCTACCTCAAAGTATGTGAGGTGAGACAATACTTTGGACAAGTAAGTACCTTTTAAATAAGGTTACCCGCATGAAATTCTTACGAATTGTGGGTACGTAGGAAATTTTCCTACTAATGCCTGAAATGTGGGGGTGTCTTGCCAAAGGCGTTTTGGTTCTTAATACACGAGTCCTACGCTCTGGATGTACATAAGAACACAATAAATTGAATCAAGAAATTCATCGTTCTTTAGAAGATGCATTTCTGTGAAGGTTCAATAAAAGACCTAGCACGTTGAAAGGAACTTTCGGCTTAGCTATGGTTGAAGGGTATGAAAGATAACCCGAGCTCAAAGCTAAACGTAGCAAGAGAGCTAGGATTGAAAAATCCTTTGGTCCATGTTTTCTGACGTACGTGTTAGAATGTGGTGCGCATATTCTAACTTGCATACTAGAGAATAATTTGGATTTTCTGACAAGGTTGTTAGAAAACGAGCCTCGAACATATGTAGAAGTGGTGACTTTTACAAATGGACCAACCCGAGAGAGGCTACCGAGAGTGAAGTAGATTCTATCTTAAAAGAATCATACTTGGAACTGGTTGTTCTTCCTCCAGGTTGTAAAATCTCGGGATCCTAAGTGGATCACTAGTCGGAAGATAAAACCGGTTGGTTATATTGGAGTAAAATGGTCGGGCTTGTAATTTTATATTACATGCGACGCTAGTGCCACAATTACTTCAATATATATTCTCTTGTGATGAGAACGAAATTCATTAGGATGATACTTCCAAGAGCTGTTTAGCGAGACTTGGAAGTTTATTGAAATGGATGTATCTCTTTCTTAATAGACATGGAACAACCCGAGGGTTTTGTGGTTCCACGCTAGGGAAAGAAAATGTGTAATTGGTGAGATCATTGTATGGTTTGAAACAATTGCCTTAGTATTTGGCATGTAGGTTTTGATCATACAATGATGTGTCACGAGTTTAGTATAAAAAATGTGACAAATGTCTACGTAATGCGTACGATAGACGAGGCTATCACTATTTGTCTATACACGATAAACTCAACGTGGGTAGTAACGATCAAATGATCAATTCTACCTTGAACATGTTAAATTTGATATTTGACATGGGGTTGGCAGATTTAATCCTCGGGATTAAAATTGTGAGAAGACTGTATGGTCTCGTGTTGAGCCAATCTCACTGTGTTGATTAAATCCTTGCAAAGGATGTTAATCAAGTGGCTTGGACACCGTTAGATACTAACGTACAACTAGCCAATAATTTCGGAGATTGTACTTCTCACGGAGAATACATTCAGATTATCGGTAGTTTAATTGTATCAAATGGGTTGTACTAGGCCGGATATTGCCTTAGTGGTTAACGAACTCGGTGACATACGAGTAACCCTAGTGTTATGCACTAGAAGGCAATAGTGAAAGTTATGAGATACTCAAGGTATGCTCGTGACGTTGGACTGCACTAAGTGAGATATCTAGCTGTACTTGGAAAATATAGCACGGATATCAAAGGATACTAAGTCCATTAAAGGCTACGTCCTTACGTAGGCCAGTGCAGTCGGTTGGACGGAAATTCTCGAAATGAATTTGTGATAGCTAAGATCCGATGGGATCAAAGCTGAGAGCCTTACACTCGTGTCGCGAGCGAGTAGGCCGAATGGCTATGCCATTATTTCGAGAATGTTCCTAGTGGTGAACTCGTACCTCCAATTTGTGTGCATTGCGATAGTCAAGCCAAAATTGGTTAAGTACAGAGTTAAATGTGGAATGGTAAGTCTAGACTTATAAGTCGTAGATATAATACCATTAAACAATTTCTCACAACGGGAGTTATCTCTATTGACTACGTGATGTCAAAAGATAACGTAGCGGCCGCTAACTCGCTAACCCGAGGGTAAGCAAATGGTTGTGGAGAAGTTGGAACGAGGAATGGGTCTAAAGCCTTTGGACTAAAAGTTCTATAGTGGATACCCAACCTAGCTGACACCTAGGTTCAATGGGACAACTAAATTATGGAACGGAGCGTGTCACTGTGGGGGTCTCGGACTCCCTACCACTCCTCGTTAGAAACAGTGACTCCCGCGTAAGGTTAGCATGTTGATGCTTTAATGATTCGAATGTCGGTTGACATGTGTGAGTATGCGGGATACTCGGAAAAGAATCACCTATGTGAGAGAGAAGTGAGGGTCGCTTCAAAGGAGAATTGATGGGCGCAATTCTTCACAAACTCTTGCAGAACCAAGACGGTGACCCACGACCAAAATGGGCACACTAATGAGAACAGAGCATGGTTGGGAGGTTCCTGTGTGAGATATGTCATCGTCTACACAAACGGCAGTCGGTTCAAAGACATCGCGTACCGTACAATCAGTAGAGTAAACATGTCTTCACAAGGGAAGGTTCAAAGGGTATAGTGATCCCTACCTATCCTATGCAGGGATCGACCGTTAAACACAGTTGTTTCCGATTTCAAAATACCCTGAAAATCATTTTTCATTCATGTGGAGGATTGTTGGAAAAATAGCATTAAAATGATATTTTGAGTGATTATTTTGTGGTACAAATATATGTGGGATCCACTTCCGATTTGGGTTGGGTCAAGGTGGATTCGGGTTCTTCGTAGTGAGACGAAGAATTTGATATAATGTACGCTCAAAATGGGTAATAGGTGAATGAGAAATTGATTCTCAAAGTGAACCTATTTGAGAGAAGTCAAATTAAGCTTAGAAAGCTTAAAGCTTAAGATTAAGCTTAATTAAGCCTAATTAGTGTGACAACATGAGTTGTCAAGCTTGTGATTAAGCTTTGGAAAGCTTAAAATAGTGAAATAGGAATTGGGACGAAAGTTTGCATGGACGAATGTTATGCATGGACGAAAGATGCTACATGTAATTAAGCAAGTTTAATTAGTGAATTAAGCTCCTTTCGTGTGAGCTATCTTTCGTGCTGCACGAGTCAATGCTATGTGCATTGATTCGTGCCACACCGTTTCGGTACTTTGCGGACCATTCGGGTGTGGTTTTCGGTCCCAATTCGTTAACCTTTCGGGTTTGTACGGACTTCTCAGTCACTCAGATATTTGAAACGGGTCATTATGGTCGGTACGAATTAATCGGATATTAAGTTCGTGACCGTTGATATTATTTCGATAATAAGTACGACCGTTTCAAACGTTATAATTCAATTTTTAAATTGAATTTATGTTGGTTAATGTGTCATGATGATGCTATTTAGTACCAATCTCCTATATAAAGATGTGGTGGGAGCAACCTTTTTGGAACACAATGTTAGAAAGGAAGTGAACGTGAGGGAAGAACAAGAGAGACACAACACACAAAGATAAGCACATTTTCTTCTCAAAACTCTACTCCTACTTCTTTCTAGCTACTGTGTTTTGCCCGTGCTCTAGTTCGCCGGGTTCGTTCGTTTGGGTGCTCAAACGTCGAACCGTTGTACGTTTTATCCTGGGAAACCTAGGCCACAACGCTCCTAGCACTTTTGGGAGGTGGCAAATAAGGTTTTAAGGAAAGATAGGCAATTTGCCTAACTCGTACATTTCTTTCTTTCTTCTTCTTTCTTGTTTTGGATTATGCTCTAAGCAAAAATCCGTCATTTCTTGTTGTTTTGGAATTATAATCTAAGAATTATATTTTCTTTTTGGTTGATATATATTGGTATATCTTTTTCGTAGATATACATGTATATATAACCGTTGGGTCCGTTTTATATATATTTGTGTGTATATATATATTTCGGATATATATCCAATAATATTTTATATATATTTCGTATATATATATATATATATATATATATATATATATATATATATATATATATATATATATATATATTATTTTACGGATATTAAATCGATTGTGGTTCATTATCACCAACAGCAGTAAGTTTGGCATCATTCAGTTTTTGCTGATCAATTGAGAATTGTTCATTTTGGCTCAATGGATTATTTGATGTCCTATATATGCATTTTCATCTCAGGGGTTGCTTGCTTGTTAGACAATCCTTCTTCCATAATGACCCAAAAAATTTTGCTATAGTTGGAGGTGGTGTCCTTGGGTATCGTGGGTTCCATTCAAGCTTCAGGACTACTCAGGGTGGCCTGTCTTTGAACATTGGTAATATCTATCAGCATGCTCATTTTTTAGAGCTCTTTCAGTTATCCAATGATGTTTTTTTTTCCTTGCAGATACATCTACCACAATGATAATTCAACCTGGGCCTGTGGTAGATTTCTTAATCGCCAATCAGAATGTGAAGGATCCATCTTCTCTAGATTGGGCGAAGGTAAAGTTGCTCCGATCCGCCCTTAGCTTGATGTGTTATTGTGCAAAGAAAAGTAACTCTGTGCATACTGTTGATTTATAAACGTGGCCTAATCAGGCTAAACGAATGCTGAAGAATCTAAGAGTGACTACAAGTCCAACAAATCAAGACTACAAGATAAGTGGATTAAGTGAGAAGAGCTGCAGAGAGCAGACGTATATTTACTTATCTGTTTTCTTTTCTTTGATGCCTTATATTTCCCGATCTGTTTTCTATAGATCAACTTATTTCTTTTGTGTTTTGTCGTAGCTTTACTTTAAAACAGAAAATCAAGGGTGATGATGGTGAAGTTCAGAACACTGAAGTGACTGTTTATGATTACTTTGTTAATAAACATAAAATACACTCGAACAAGTCTGCTGATTTACCATGTATCAAATTTGGAAAGCCAAAACGTCCAACTTACTTCCCTATCGAGGTAAATATTGCTTTTGAATGGTTACATCAGTCTATGCTCCCTCTTTAATTTTCAAACTTTAACACCATTATATTTTCCAGCTGTGCTCATTGGTCTCGTTGCAAAGATACACAAAAGCACTGTCTACTTTTCAAAGAGCTTCTCTGGTGGAGAAATCAAGACAGAAGCCTCAAGAGAGGATGGAAGTTTTAAGTCATGTAGGTTATTATATTTTTTTTAAAAAGAATTCTAGTATGCTTTGTTCATGCTCTCAAGTGTTATTTTGACTGTTACAGGCACTGGAAATCAACAACTATAATGCTGAGCCACTGCTTATTTCTTGTGGCATATCAATCAATAATAACTTCACTAAGATTGAGGGTCGTGTTCTGCCTGCCCCAAAAGTAAGAAATCTGTAATGTTTTTTTGTAACTTATTTACTGAGTATTTATTTACTGTTAAGAGTTTTATGTAAAGTACGTATTGCTGACTACTGAAGGTATGAAAGTTCATTTTGCTTGGTTTTTTTTTTTTTTTTTTTTTTTTTTTCCTTTCTTTCTCCTAGTGCTACATGATATGAATTACTACTGTAATTAGTGGAGTTATAACTTAATGGCAAATTTTTGCTTTATCACAGTTGAAAGTTGGAAATGGAGAGGATTTCTTTCCTCAAAATGGGAGATGGAACTTCAATAAAAAGGTAGAGTTCTCATATTTTCACAAATATATTATTATTATTATTATTATTATTATTATTATTATTATTATTATTATTATTATTATTATTATTATTATTATTTTAAAATACACAAGTCTCACATGTATTGACACATCACTATGGTAGTTTTTTAAACTCTACTTTTCATTGTCTTGGTGTGATGGACAGAAACTGTGGCAGCCACAAAAGATTGAAAGTTGGGGTGTTGTAAATTTCTCTGCACGCTGTGATACACGTACCCTTGTCAGAGAATTGATTCATTGTGGAAAAATGATAGGGATTGTATGTTTTGTCAGGTTACTGTATTTTTTTTAAAAAAACTGAAAGTGACTGGCTAGTGATGTCTTTGATTGTATCTTTGAAGAGCGTGGATGCCCCTATTCATGCATGGTATGAGAATCCAGCGTTCAAAGGATTTCCACCTGTTGTGAGAGTAAACAATATGCTTAAAGACATCATGGAGAAGTTGCCTAAAAAACCACCTAAGTTCCTTCTCTGTTTGTTGCCTGAAAGAAAGAATTGTGATATATATGGTTTGTCTTTTCTGCTCTTTTTGTCATTTTTCTGCTAAGCTATTCATTCAAAATATAATTGTCTATCTGTCTTAACTTAAAGGGCCATGGAAACGAAGGACTCTGAGTCAGCACGGAATTGTGACTCAATGCATGTCACCAACCAAAGTGAATGCCCAATATCTCACGAATTGCCTACTTAAGATAAATGCCAAGGTGACAATAGTTAGCATTCTCCCGCTTTACTTAATTTATCATATTTGTTTTTAAATAATGTTCTGATTCTTTACAGCTTGGAGGCCTTAATTCGGTGTTGACTGTTGAACGTCCTCCTCTCCAACTTGCTTCAAAGCCTGCCACCATTATTATTGGGATGGATGTGTCTCATGGCTCTCCTGGTCAGACTGGCGTTCCATCAATTGCTGCGGTACACCACAGCATCTTCAATTTTCTTTTGATTCATTTATTGTTCCAATTGGTTATGAACTTTTCTGTTTGGCTCTTTAAAAGTTGTGGTTATGCATAGGAGATTATGCGTGAGAAGAAATTTATATTCAATGTTGATTTTGTTTTGTATGCCTTTTATCTTCACTTTATAATTTGTAATTTTGAACAGGTTGTGAGTTCGAGGCAGTGGCCTCTTATTTCTCGTTATAGAGCATCAGTGCGTACTCAGTCTGCAAAGGTTGAAATGATTGATAACTTGTTTAAACCTGGTCCTGACAAAACTGATGATGGAATTATGAGGTAATTCTATTTTTGTAGTTGATTGTCATTAAAATCAATCACAAGGCCACAGATTTGAGGCTAGGTTCTTAATGTATATGATTAAACTCATCACTATCAAGTGACTTCTAACATTTTCCAAAGTGTTGTCTCATGAAAAATTAGAATTTTTTTTGGTATGACTCAACTAAGATTCAATTAAATATTCCTTTTATCTTTGATGTTAAGAGGACTAAGATAAAAACAGAGTTCAGAGATTATGCTATTACCCAAACTAATATTTTCACTCGTGCGATGCACGGAATGGAATTGTGGTAATATATTAAGAATATTTAAATCGATATATAATTATTTAAGAGTTAATTTCACCAGAGGTCGTTTATCTTTCCTGACAATTTCAAATTTAATCATAGACTATAGTTATTAATTATTACGATTTATTCTATGTTACAACTCTTACGTTAATATTCTTACTATTATTATTGACACTTAATTACTTTTAGATATTATTATTACCACTTATATTATTATTATTATATTATTATTATTATTAGTTTCTTTTCAAGTACTGTTAGTATATAATGGTCGTGAGGCACAATAATAATATAACCATAATTAAATATTCTTGTATTGTATTCCGGAGTTAATGCCATTTTTGGTCCTAGACTTATTGAAGCATTGACACTTTTCATCCTCCATAATAAAAATTGCCACTTAGTAGACACTGTTATTGGTCGTTGGACAGTTTTGATCCTCCGTCAATGAAGCCATTTGTTGACCGTGAATTAGATGGGCTTTTCTGTCTTTTTATGTCTTATTCTTCTAATCTTATTTAGACCAGCGCTGCTGTGACTCCTGTGAGGCGAGATGGCGAGACTTGGCGGCTAAGTAGTAACCGTCGGTAGTGAGTAGCAGCGAGGTTCTTCTCCGGCGAGTTGTGGGTATGACGGCGAGCATACGAGGCAATAACTCCTTCCAGCGACGGACCAGTAAGGAAGATCTGGCGGTGCAGCAACAGATCCGGCGAGGTTGGGGCCTTCACCGGTGGTTTTTGGTTCCGGCGAAGCAGAGAGGGCAGCAGGTCGGCGAACCCTCCTATGGTAAATAGCAGTTGTAGTTGTAGATGGCGTGATGTAGAATTTGCACCTGAAAGTCCTCCCTTCCATATTGACCACAAATATCCTTCCCATCTCTCTCTCTCTCTGACCACAACTACTTGGTGCACAACCTCAAAAACTCTGTTATTCTACCTAAAATTCATTGAAGTTTCAAGCTGAAAATGTGGAATCCGCCGCTCCCCAAAAATCGCATTGTCTGAGGTGTTGGAATGGCCGGTGTTGACTTCTTGGCTACTGTAGCTTCATTCCCCAACCCGGATGATAAAATTCGGAGCACCAGCTTTGAGGTTCAAGCAGGTGGTAACACTGACAATGCTTTGATAAAACCCGGATGATAAAATTCGTCTTGGTCTTAATCCAAGGATCATATCTAAGGTTGCTGATGACTCGCATGGCGAAAGAATACTTGATGAGCTTGAAAGGGATGGTGTTGATACATCTTTTATGGTGGTGTCCAAAGGAGGAAACTCACCATTCACATATGTCATTGTTGACAACCAAAAAAAAAAAAAAAAAAACTTGCACGTGCATTTTCACTCCAGGATATCCACCCATGATATCTGAGGGTCTACATAACCAAATCAAAATTGTCTTCAGCGCTTGGAGTAAATATTGTCTACTTAGATGGAAGGCTGCATGAGACTGCTTTGATTGTAGTGCAGGAGGCAAAGAGTAGGGGCATACCTATTATAGTTGATGCAGAAAGGTTAAGGGAGGGGTTGGGTGATATTCCTGACTTTGCTAGTTATGTTGTATGCTCGACAAAATTTCCACAGGCATGGACTAACACCCTTTCTATTCCAACTGCACTTGTTTCTATTATCTTGAGATTGATGTCAAATGTAAAATTCGTGATTGTTAGTTGGGTGAAGATGGTTTCTTAATGTTAGAAAGGACTGAAGCGGATAACCTCAGTTTGAAGAAATGGATGTAGCAGTGACCAATGGATGGAGAAATACAAGGATTAGAACAAAAAAAGACAGAAAAACCCTTCTAATTCACGGTCAACAAACGGCGTCATTGATGGAGGATCAACACTGTCCAACGATCAATAACAGTGGCTACTAAGTGGCAATTTTTATTATGGAGGATGAAAAGTGTCAATGCCCCAATAAGTCTAGGACCAAAAATGGCATTAACTCTTGTATTCCGTGAGTCACAATAATAATATAACAATAATTAAATATTGTTCAATTCTATATTGTTTTAGGAATTCTATTACCATCATTAATTATTCCCAAATTTACCATAATTAAATAATTTGACCAAATATAAAGAAAGATTATTAAATAATGCACGGGAGAATTGTTTAATTAAAAATTTTAAAAATTCATTAATAAAACATAAGGTTCTCATAGTTTTTTCTTAGAAACTCTTTAATAAAGTATTTTTTTTTTAGAAATTGGTGGGCCAAACCGCCTACGGAAGTTTGCGGTGGATAGATCTCGAAAAAATACGCGATTTCAAAAAAACATTTGACTAAAACGGACAACGGAGTGAAAAGTTATGCCTTGCCGAACTTTTGACACTTTACAACTTAGTGTCAAAAGTCAAAAGTTATTAGGAGGAAAGATTTTTTAGGAATTGGGCGGGAAGTTAAAATTTCAGGATTTTGTTTTTATATATAGTATAGATTATATTATAGTATTTTATAATAATATGATAATAGAATTTTAACGAAGAATTATTGTACGAATGGGAAAGTAGAAATCAATATATTTTATTAGGAGGAGAGATTTTTTAGAAATTGGGCGGGAAGTTAAAATTTAATTATTGTACGAATGGGAAAGTAAAAATCAATATATTTTATTAGGAGGAGAAATTTTTTAGAAATTGGGCGGGAAGTTAAAATTTCAGGATTTTGTTTTTATATATAGTATAGATATAGATTGTATTACAGTATTTTATAATAATATGAGAATAGAATTTTAACGCAGAATTATTGTACGTATGGGAAAGTAGAAATCAATATATTTTATTAGGAGGGGAGATTTTTTAGGAATTGGGCGAGAAGTTAAAATTTCAGGATTTTGTTTTTATATATAGTATAGATTGTATTACAGTATTTTATAATATATGAGAATAGAATTTTAACACAGAATTATTGTACGAATGGGAAAGTAGAAATCAATATATTTTATTTGGAGGAGAGATTTTTTAGGAATTGGGCGGGAGGTTAAAATTTCAGGATTTTGTTTTTATATATAGTATAGATTGTATTACAGTATTTTATAATAATATGAGAATAGAATTTTAACGCAGAATTATTGTACGAATGGGAAAGTAGAAATCAATATATTTTAATAGGAGGAGAGATTTTTTAGGAATTGTGCGGGAAGTTAAAATTTCAGGATTTTGTTTTTATATATAGTATAGATTGTATTACAATATTTTATAATAATATGAGAATAGAATTTTAGGCCCTTAGGGTTGGGGTTCAGCCTTTTGGAAGAATGAGAATAGAATTTTAAAGCAGAATTATTGTACGAATGGGAAAATAGAAATCAATATATTTTATTAGGAGGAGAGATTTTTTAGAAATTGAGCGGGAAGTTAAAATTTCAGGATTTTGTTTTTATATATAGTATAGATTATATTACAGTGTTTTATAATAATATGAGAATAGAAATTTAACGCAGAATTATTGTACGAATGGGAAAGTAGATATCAATATATTTTATTAGGAGGAGAGATTTTTTACAAATTGGGCGGGAAGTTAAAATTTAATTATTGTACGAATGGGAAAGTAGAAATCAATACATTTTATTAAGAGGAGAGATTTTTTAAAAATTGGGCGGGAAGTTAAAATTTCAAGATTTTGTTTTTATATATACTATAGACTATAGATTGTATTACAGTATCTTATAATAATATGAGAATAGAATTTTAACGCAGAATTATTGTACGAATGGGAAAGTAGAAATCAATATATTTTATTTGGAGGAGAGATTTTTTAGGAATTGGGCGGGAGGTTAAAATTTCAGGATTTTGTTTTTATATACAGTATAGATTGTATTACAGTATTTTATAATAATATGAAAATAGAATTTTAACGCAGAATTATTGTACGAATGGGAAAGTAGAAATCAATATATTTTAATAGGAGGAGAGATTTTTTAGGAATTGGGCGGGAAGTTAAAATTTTAGGATTTTGTTTTTATATATAGTATAGATTGTATTACAGTATTTTATAATAACATGAGAATAGAATTTTAACGCAGAATTATTGTACGAATGGGAAAGTACAAATCAATATATTTTATTAGGAGGAGAGATTTTTTAGGAATTGGGCGGGAAGTTAAAATTTCAGGATTTTGATTTTATATATAGTATAGATTGTATTACAATATTTTATAATAATATGAGAATAGAATTTTAGGCCCTTAGGGTGGGGTTCAGCCTTTTGGAAGAATGAAAATAGAATTTTAAAGCAGAATTATTGTACGAATGGGAAAATAGAAATCAATATATTTTATTAGGAGGAGAGATTTTTTAGAAATTGGGCAGGAAGTTAAAATTTCAGGATTTTGTTTTTATATATAGTATAGATTATATTACAGTATTTTATAATAATATGAGAATAGAAATTTAACGCAGAATTATTGTACGAATGGGAAAGTAGATATCAATGTATTTTATTAGGAGGAGAGATTTTTTAGAAATTGGGCGGGAAGTTAAAATTTAATTATTGTACGAATGGGAAAGTAGAAATCAATATATTTTATTAGGAGGAGAGATTTTTTAGAAATTGGGCAGGAAGTTAAAATTTCAGGATTTTGTTTTTATATGTAGTATAGATTGTATTACAGTATTTTATAATAATATGAGAATAGAATTTTAGGCCCTTAGAGTTGGGGTTCAGCCTTTTGGAAGAATGAGAATAGAATTTTAAAGCAGAATTATTGTAAGAATGGGAAAATAGAAATCAATATATTTTATTAGGAGGAGAGATTTTTTAGAAATTGGGCGAGAAGTTAAATTTTCAGGATTTTATTTTTATATATAGTATAGATAGACAGCTTAATTATAAAATGTTGACATGTAGAGTTCATACTATTTAGTTTCTGAAAACACTTGAAGAGTTATCCTGTTGTTGACCTTATTTAGTTTGTATAATATAATTTATTATTTTATTTAGGGACCATAGAAGCTCTTGAACATGCAACTAATATTCTAGTTTCCTTGTCTTCTGAGTCATGAAAATTTATTCCAATTGCATTTGCTGAAATAAAGTTATAGGTTGCCATAATGATTATATTCAAACTTCTTGCTTTCAGGGAGCTATTGTTAGATTTTTATTTTAGTACTCAGAAAATGAAGCCTAAACAAATTATAATCTTCAGGTAAATTTGTAGCCTCTCTTGTCTTTAATTTCTTGCCATTTGGTGCGTGTCTATTTCTTCCTTGTGTATGATCTTGTGTTTTATGCATTCAAATCTCAACCTGGAAATCTAAACCTCACTTGAATGAGGATTTAGTTTTAATGTTATAGTAATTGTCATATTTAAGGAAACATTTCCTTTCCTTGTTTTGTTTGTGTAAGTCAGAAAATAAAATAAGAAATCTCCAAAATCAGCCATGTGTAAAGTAATTAGATGGAGAATCAAAATTTCTTCATTGGTTCTTTTTGGGTATATCGGTGGGGAATGGACAATTTGAACTAATAAAATCGTTACTCTCAGGTCTAGCCAGTATCATTACTGGATGTTTTCCATTGTTTGAAAGTTAGTTTTAACCACATTCTGGAACACGTACAAACGGAAGTGATGTGCACAGAAAATAGCTTTGACAATAGCAAGTTATGATTTGTGAGAACGTAACCATTTTTTCCCCTAAAGTTTTACCGATTGCTCTCAACTTTTCAGGGATGGTGTCAGTGAATCCCAATTCAATCAAGTTCTTAACATTGAACTTGATCAGATCATTGAGGTACCATTTTGGTGAAGAGTTTGATCTAGAAAAAACAAAACAAAATATGGTTTAAAGTCTCTTTCTGAATTTTGTGTAGGCTTGTAAATTTCTTGAGGAGGGATGGTCACCCAAGTTTACAGTCATTGTTGCTCAGAAGAATCATCACACCAAGTTCTTCCAAGTTAGCTCTCCTAATAATGTTCAACCTGGTATTACAGATTACTAAACTACTGCTTATACAATATATTAGCTTTTGCATAGGACAAATTAAAGTTGATTTTAATATAATGCTCCCTTGAGTGCAGGGACAATTATTGATAGTAAAGTTTGTCATCCGAAAAACAATGACTTTTACTTGTGTGCTCATGCAGGAATGATTGTAAGTAATATATTTTTGCCCTTTCTTACGTACATTGATTTCTGTTTATTTTAGAGTAGTTTGGAGTACTTAATAAGGTCTTTTTCTTTTGCACATCTATGCAATATCTAAGTTTACATTTATTCCATTTGATCTGAATTAAGTTTATTTGAAATGCCTAAATAATGAATATAATAGATCTGCAAGCTTTCTCTATGTTACCTTGATACAGCTTATACTTAACATTATTAAATAATTGTTTCATAGGGAACCACAAGACCAACACACTATCATGTTCTTTATGATGAGGTTGGATTTTCAGCTGATGAACTGCAAGAACTTGTGCACAACCTATCCTATGTGTGAGTACTGGAGCGTATAGTAATAGCGCGCATTTTGGTTTTTAATTTATTTGTTGTATCTTATTTTATTTGTTTACACATGATCACTAAACTTGAAAAGACGACATTGATAGTAAAGTGGTTGGTATTTTTTTTGCAGGTCCCAAAGGAGCACCACTGCCATATCTGTTGGTAATTCTCTTGTCTATTTCACTAAACTTATAGTTGATAAAGTCTTTGTCTTAAATACTATAATGTGCTTCTACTATCATAGTCTCTTCTATCTTTGTTTGAGCAATTGAGCTTCTCATTAACTGTGTTGTGTTGATGTGTGCAGTTGCTCCTATTTGCTATGCTCATTTGGCTGCCACCCAGTTGGGACAGTGGATGAAATTTGAGGATACATCTGAGCAGTCTTCAAGCCATGGTGGTGGGGGATCAAACGCAGGCCCAGCCACAGTTCCTCAGTTGCCCACACTACATCAAAATGTCAGTAGTTCAATGTTTTTTTGCTGAGGGTTGACTGTTTTGACTACTATGGATTGTAATAGTTTTGGTATCGATGGAGGCCCCTTTGTGTTTGTTTACATTGTGTTTTTTGGATTCCTAGTGCATCCTGTTCATCAGACTTGACACATATATGTTGCATTAAAAGTGAAACATTTTATGGGGTCTATTGGATGGATTGAAATCTTTTTATGAGCCTTGATTTATTCTTAATTGTATTTCATCTATATTATAATTTTTCACAATACGAATAATAACTAAGATAATTACATTTGAAAAGCAAATTTTAAATTTTGTATGTGTAAATTTAAACTCTAATTGAACACATTTTTTATATGATTATATAATATATAGCTATTTTATTTTTCAAAAGTATATTTTTTATATGATTATATAATATATAGCTATTTTATTTTTTAAATGTTGTGCTTTTTTTTTTTTTATAATAAAGAATGTTGTGGCATTAATTGTAACATTAATTATTTCCCAAACCATATAGCTTTATTATATAAAGGATTATTATTATTATTATTATTATTATTATTATTATTAATATTATTATTATTATTATTATTATTAAAATAAATGGTATTCAGTTTAGTTTCTTTTTACCGAACCGATCGTTCGGTATACAAAAATCTATTATCGTTTGATTGTACCAACATATTACCGAATCAAATTAGTTCAGTTCAGTTCGGTACGATTTGGTACGGGAAAACTGAAACGAATTGCCACTCCTAAAGTTAATTACTGAAATGGTCCCCTGAATATAGAGAAATTACCAATTTGGTCCCAAGTTAACGGATGTCTAACGGAAAAACAAACGGAGGACTAAATCGGTTAAAATTTTTAAAGATGAGGGACTTAATTGGTAAAAAAAAATAGTCAAAGACCAAATTGGGAACTTCGCTATAGTCAAGGGACCATTTCGGTAATTAACTCATGTAAATTATAACAACGAATATTAATTATATAGTGCAATTGATGAAATGAGTTAGATAGATTATGTTTTCTGATATTATCCTTGATTTCGATTTATACAATTTATATAATTAAAGTAGGTACGTCTAACATTTCTCATGCGGACAACTTAAGCAATGCAAATGTCCAATGGTTTGTGTTTGCCTCAACATTTTCATGAATATATTATTAATATTATTGAACACCATGAACTGTTCAATGGTTATTGTATGAGTTAATACCCAAAATCGTCCTCGACTATAGTGGTTTTTCTCAATTTCGTCCTTAACGACTTTGGTGACCTAATATCGTCCCAGACTTTTGTGTTTCTCTCAATTTAGTCCCAGACTTTTGTGTTTTTGCTCAATTTAGTCCCTCATTTGTTATTCTGTCCATTTGGTGTTAAATAAATAGACAATTCAGTAATTTTAATATTGGCATCTCTTTACTCATAGACATGTGAACTGCGAAATCTTTTTTTTTTTTTTACGAATTACTCCTGGAATTACTCCTAAAACTGCGAATATAAAATTTGATTTGCAGGTCCAGGAGTAACTCTGGGTGTAATTCGTACAAGAAAGAGGAATTTCGCACTTCACAAGTTGAAAGTAAAGAGAGATCAATATTGACATTACTGAATTGTCCCTTTATTTAACACCAATTTGATGGAATAACAAATAGAGGACTAAATTGAGCGAAACACAAAAGTCTGGGACGATATTAGGTCACCAAAGTCGTTTAAGACGAAATTGAGAAAAACCACTATAGTCGAGGACGATTTTGGGTATTAACTCGTTATTGTATTATTGAATACTATGAGCTGTTTTTATAAATGCATAACATTAACTCCACAAATTAAGCTAAACAAATATATCTCAAATGATACACTTCAAACTTAATTATTATATTGTATATATATTTTGGTTTCATTTAGAGATATTCACTTTGACACTTTCAAAAATGTAAAATTAGAATAAATGTGGCAGTAGCCTGGTGAGTGATCATTAACTTCAATTCACTGCAAATAAAAGATAGTAACTTCATGTTGGCAATCCTTTTATAAGTCTGTGATAATCTATCAAACTGATAGCAACATACAAAGAATGTAATAACTTATACCAAAGACTGGGAGGAGGTATGTATTTTGTTAGTGTTTTATTTCTTTGGAATAAGGTTCAAATTGGCCACTGAACGTAACACGAAAATGCAATTAGGCCATTGAACGAAAAAAAAAGTGCAATTAGGCCACTGAACACACAAAAAATGTGCAATTTCACCTGATAGCAGGTTACCCCCAATTTTAGCAGGTTACCCTCAATTTTAGCATGTTACCTGCTTACGTGGCAGCTGAGTTGGTATTTTTAAGAATAATTTTTTATAAAAAATAAAAATAAAAACGACTGTATTTTGTTTTTTATTTAATTTTTTTTCATTTTTTAAATTTATTATTATAATTAATTATTAAAATTTATTAAAAATTCTTTAAAAATTATTAAAAATGCCAACTCAGCTGCCACGTAAGCAGGTAACCTGCTATACGGTGAAATTGCATACGTTTGGAGAGTTCAGTGGCCTAATTGTACGTTTTTGCAGTGTTCAGTGGCCTAATTGCACTTTTTTTTTTTTTTTCGTTCAGTGGCCAATTTGAACCTTATTCCTATTTCTTTAAAAACCCCAACATATAATTGGCAATATTATTATGGCAAATTAAGATAGGGTTTAGCTTGGTGTCTGTTCGTCCTTGTAGAAGACTGATTGATCAGTGAAATCAACAGGCGCACCTCTAGGTCAAGCCACTGAAGGACTGATAAAGGAAAGCTTCTAAAAGTTGATAAGCGATTATAAGATGCAGGTTTTGGAAAGAAGATCAGCAGATTATCTTAAGAGGTATGGACCGAATCTTAAGATTTCTTTCTTCACAAAAAGTCCTACCATCTACAACTATATGTATTTTTTGGAGAGTGTCCAAATCAAGAAGTATAAATATACTTATTCGCTCAGAAGTTAGGGTTGCATGTATTGAAGCCGCAACACTCTAAACTAAACAGAATATACATCTCTGGTTGTCATGCATCTTCTCAAGACAATAAGTTCATGGTGACCTCAAAGAAGATCTTGAGAAACATCAACACTACTTAACCGATTGGACGCAAAGATCACTCAATTGTGGGAACAACGTGAGACTGTGTCATTGAAGCGGACTGCATCAGAGTTAGCTCTCCAATTGAAGGGATTTCATTGGATTTCTGAATGCGTGGCTCTCCGACTTCAACAATCCACTAAACCTTTGTAGACTGGGTACTGACCTTGTGTGGGGCACTTGGGTGAGATTGTTCTTCTCTACCTTTGTACATTGGATTATGAGTTAGTGGATTGGATGCATCGGTGATTGTCCTCCAGATGTAGATACACACTGTATCGAACTGAGTAAACAAACATAGGTGTTGATTTACTTTCTGCCTTAGTCTTCCGCAGTACGCAATATATGTCTGTCTATCTAGTATGATGAATGACTGATCAATAATCTGAGATAGTCAGTCATTTCTTCAGTCTGTAAGAAAGTAACTAAATAATTCTAGGTTAAGAGAATATGCAAAATTACAGATTCTATTGAATACCAATGAAATTAAATATACAAATTGAGAACATGCACAAATATTCAGTTCTAAAACAAATTCTTAACCTTGCGATATATGGTTCTAAAATAAGTCTATAAATACCATATCTAGATAATCTGCCTTAATTACCACCAATTGTTTAATATTGTTGGATCCCTTTATATATCATTAATTTAAATATTTGTTGCTCAATTATTGCAAAATCTTGAGCTACAATTATAATTTTTTTGGGTATGCCAAGGGTTTCCACCGTTGGACACAATGACTAATCCCCTCGTTGGATAGTAGGCACATCTTTTCGGTGGGACAGCTGGCCTGTGTGAGCATATAGCCATCAATGTGCAATCCAACTATCAGCTTAGGCTTTTAGTTGAGATGGAGCACTGATAAGTGCGTTTTTGTCTATATTTTTACCCCTTCTTGAATCCATTTTATTTGTGAATAGCTTAAAAACTTGTGTGAATTGTGACTAAGTTAAGTTGGTTTTATTTCAAGGTACAATCATTCACAACAAGTGAGAAATTCAATGATTTTTGGAAAGATCCTCACAATTCTTGGACCAAGAGATCAATCAAAGAGTTTGGAATGCATTTAGGAATTTCAACAGTACCGTACTGCCTCCCGTACGCCCATCCATCAGCCCATCCAAGATCTGAAAAAAGAAGCAGGTGGCGTACGCCCTGCCGTACGCCCGTACGCATGCCACTACGACCATTCCAGTGTTCACTGGAAATGCACCCAAAATGGTACTGCCTGGCGTACGCCCATCCCTGAGGGCGTCTCACTTGCTCTGCTCTATTTAGGCGCGTTTTTGGGTCATTTCAACTCGGTTTTGACCCATGGTTGAGCCCTAGCTTCTCTCTTTCACTTCCTTTCATATTGTAGTGTTAGATTAGGTTTAGATTTAAGTTTCTTAACACTTTTCGATCTTGTAATCAAGGATTCAACACTTGGATTCCAAGATTTACCATCCATTTCTTAGTGAAGTTTTCTTCTCCCTTTTATCTCTTTATCTTGCAATGTTTATGCTTTACATTTATGTTTTTGTGTTCTTTATGTTATTGAATCATGAGTAGTTAGTTTATGGACTTGAGTTAGGGTTGTATTATCTATCTTGATGCTTGATTTGTGATTATTGCAAAAAGTGGAAGAACTCTAACCTAGGGTTCTTGAGTTTATGAAGGATTTGTGTTTGTATTTTGTTAATGCTTGGTGTACAACATTCATTGGCATGTTTTGGAGGATTCTTGGCCTCAATGAGAGTTGGGTCAAGATTCCAAGCCACTCCTTGCATAAACCCGATTTTTCCTATGAAAATGGGGGAAATTGGGGTTTTTAGATGCTTTGTGTTCTTCAAGAACTTGGAGTTGATTCACCACGAGAGTGGGGCAATTCCTTGTTCTAATCCTTGTTAATCTGCTCACGTGAGTGACTTATAGACTAGGTTTTCTACGTGCATCCCCTCTATTCCTTGGTTGTGTG